GGTTGGCACAGAAACAAGTGAATACCATTTGATGGTTGGACCGCGCATGAGATAAGCGCCGCCGCTTGTTATCATAGCTCTACAGATTTCTTTACCAGTGGGAACCCAAAATGTCACTCTTACTGCTGCAACCTTTTTAACGAGAACAGCAGAAGCTTCAAGCTATGTGGGGGATTATGTCCTCTCAAGAGACTTGACCACCCCCATTTTTACTAAGTTTGAAAAGTCTGCCGTTTACGCTGAAACGCGACAAAGAAGTGGGAGAAGTTTTATTTTTATGAGTAGAACCTTCTTGAATGCGAAGAGTCTGATTGGTACGATTTTTCTGTTCCTCACTATACAATTTTGTCCTGATGGGACTCCATGTTGACTGACAGATATTTTCAATTTTAGGAGGAAAAGTGGTGGCAGCAATGGCGTCAGTGTGCGGCATTATTGTGTTGGCGTTCCCGATTTCCATGATTATTGACAAGTTTGCTGAGTCGACTGGTTGCTGGAACGATGACGATCATGAGCAACAGCAGAAGAAACCAAAAGGAAAACGGGCGTTCTTCTGACCCTGTCGTGCACATATTCCAGCCAGCTTTGAACGCTCATTTACACTTGTGAATTAACTCTTTGGAATCTGAGGCACATTTTGATAATGCATTCGCGAGCCGTAAACTGTGAGTGGCCGAATTTTCCGTTCTGGTAACCATCTACTGTGTTGGAGACGCAGTAACAGTTGACTACTCTGTCGCTTTCCTACGCTGTCCTGATTTCCCTCGGAAAAGGGACCACCTGCGCATGACTTACGCTCATATCTTAATGTGTCTCAGAGTTCTATAGCGGCTATGACCGCCCAAACATGACGTGGTAGAAATTTTCTTGTCTTTTTGTTATCTTGAAGGGGATCTTTCTTTTTCTGCAGAGAAGGAGTGGAATTAAGAAGGAGTGGAATTAATGTTGAAAGTGATTGTCTAAAAGAAATCTTGTCTTGTAAGTATGAGGCTAAAGCACATTCCGCGATAACCGATGGGCGGAGAAATAGACGGAGTCTCGTGCTTCCTCGCTGCCTCGCCCTTCCTCTTTACCGCATTGAGGGGCGCAGCAATAATGGAGCTAAGAAAGAGTGTCCAGCTTCACACCCACGTTGTGGTTACGGTTATATGCGGCGTTATGTGCGCGGCATTCGCATAAGGACCAAAATGATTTTACGTGGAAGTGCCGCAGTATGTTGTGTCAACGACCAGGGAGTTTTGACCGTTACCGCAACGCAAAATTAACACACACGGTGGTTACGAGTCTCCGCCCACCCAAGCATCACGGAATGTGCTCTCAAGATCCTCCTGTTCCCTTGTTCCCTGCATAAACGTGACCAATGATGTATATAGATGTATGAAAAGACCACCACTGAAAATTATATTGTCCTCGGTGCCGAGTTCTCTACGAGTACTTTGTGCTCGTGTAGTGATAGTGAGTAGAAAATGAGTACTCTTCTAAATAATTATTTTTTAGTAAGCCTATATCTGATCTCCAAGAAATACCGTGATTCTCTGATTTGTAGAGTTCAATGTTCTTTTGTTTCCTTTTGGTGCTGGAGAATTGTGCATCTGATGACAGAAGATTGCTGTTCTTCTATTCATTTCTACGACTTGTGTAATTTATTAAATTTTTATTCTCCTCGTTTTATTTCTGACACTGAAATTTCACCACACAATCATGCCTACCCTTCAATCGTGTCAAGTTAGGCAGTGGACATTACTTCGCCATAGAAAGTCATGGTGCTACGGTGTTGGCAGCCAGTGCTTTGAAGCTCCTTTGCAGGAATGGAGATCCACTTTGCAGCGCATCTCTGGAAATTGGGCAAAGACGACTTTTTCACATTCGCAACTGGTCTCCACCAAGGCACAAGCCGAATCAAGAGGGGGAGAGACTGTGCATCAAAAAGGCTCCTTGAGGAAATTAAGGCTGCAGTAATAGAGAAGAGGATTTTTCCTTTGCCTAGAAATCAAGTCGTTCGAGCTGGGTATACCAAATCCTTTGTGCATATGAAAGCTTCGGGTCAGAGCGATTCCAATTTTGCAAAAGGAATATTTTAAGTGCATCCGTTGGCTTGATCCTTCAGTGTGGCGCCAGCCCACCGAAAATTTTATCTAGCGATATCCAGCTATAGTATTATTCGTGCAGATCGAGAGAGCCAGCTCGCAGCTACGCGTACACACGCTGATGTAAGAAGGAGAGGAATGAGCCCGCCTCCGGCTGTCTTTCTACCAATAGGGATCGGTTAGTGATTAATTTAGGAGAATTCCATCCAGGGGGGGGGGGGTTGTCAGGGTCGTACTTGCTTGGGAGATGATTGGAGGCAGGGCGGCGCATTTGCGTTGTGATCATTTCCTGAAAAATACGACCCCCCCTATATCCATCTTCAAGTACGACCCTCCCTCCCGGGGGGGAGGTCGCAGTACCACGTACGTCCCAAGCACGTCCGGCACTC